GCTCTCGTTACTCAGATTCAAATCTGGTTCCTTCCAGGCAAACTCGCAGTGGAAGATCCTCTTTCCAAAATCTCCTTGTTCATTGACCAGCTGGGGAATGTAACCAGTCAGGGCACGTTTTCGGGGATTCCAACTCCAACCATTGCCTCCCAGTTCCAGGATTGGTTCACTCATCGCCACGGGAACTTGGGACTTCCAGGCATCTCCTCAGGGGCTGTTTCCAGTCACACCTGGCCCCTGTTATTCTGCTGCTGCTTTGTACTTACTTTAATAAACCATTTCATGCAACAGGCTGCACTGGGCTTTTGTTACATGGGAGAAGTCAGAACTTTGGACCCTGTAGGAAAAGAACTGACTCACCCGTAGCCAGGAGAGCAGCGAGGATGCAGACGGCAAGAGAAGCCTCCATGGTGATGGGGAAGCAGTAGATCGGTGCTGGGGGTCTGTGATGCAGCCAAATCTCCAGCTGGGGGATTTATCACAGATGAGCTGAAATGAGATCAGACGAGAGATTGCACAAGATAATGGAGCAAATCATTAAGCGATCAATTTGCAGACATTTGGAAGACAATAAGGTGATAAGTAACAGCCAGCATGGATTTGTCAAGAACAAATCCTGTCAAACCAACCTGGTAGCTTTCTCTGACAGGGTAACAAGCCTTGTGGATAGGGCGGAAGTGGTAGATGTGGTCTATCTTTACTTCAGTAAAGCTTTTTATATTGTCTGGCATGCCTTTCTCATAAAAAAAACTCGGGGAATACAACCTATAAGGAGGTACTATAAGGTGGATACAAATATCAAATACTCCTGCTGGAAGGTTGCAGCGTAACACAATTTTATTTTTGACACTTCCGAAGAGTAACACGGAAGATCCAAAAAAAAAAAAAAAAAACCAGAGACAAAGCAGGCTGCTCCTTAAACAGAGGGAGACAAAGCAGGCTGCTCTCGTATGCAGAGATCCAGGGGTCTGTTTACAGACAGGGAGGTATCCCAAGCTTAGCAGAACTTTGTTTGTGTTACTAGCTGGATGGGAAATCCCCTCTTCCATGCAAACCAGACCACTAATATGTTCACTGGCTCCTGGCATCTGGCTCTCTGGATTCAGATCTTTGCCTGTTACTGATGCAGGGTCTGGATCCTGTCTTAAAGAGACACAGTCATTTCCCAAGAGTATGTCAAGGCCGATGTTCTGAAGGACCCCAGCTAACAGCCCTGCACCCGAATCCTTCCTGTGTCTTCACAGGGATCTGCTCTAGGCTGGTTCTTTCCAGACTGCCTCTGGTCCCACACTTCCCTGTAGATCAGCCAACTGCACTCCCCTGACCCACCCACTCTTAAAGTGACAGCTTGCAACCCAAACCGACCTTGATACACAACCCCCCGCTCCCTACAAGGTGACGCTCAGCCACGCTCCACTTTTAACAGCCGAGGGATCCCAGGCCCCGGGCAAGGATCAACCTTCAACCCTCTGCTGAAGCCAAGTTTCTTTTTCTCCTCCGCCCCCGGTGATCAGGGCCTGAGGCCTGCACCATCACCCCAGGTTCCCCGGGGGAGAAGAGGAACGGTACTGACTCCTCCCCTAAACTGAGGTTGGGTTTCGCTCCCCACACCGCACAGCAGTGGAACGTATCTCAGGGTCATTCACATTTCCGCAGACCATCAGGCTGCCAAAAACTGGGGGGAGAAATTCCCCCTCCCTGCTGGAGGCAGCAGCCACCTCTGCCCTCTCCCGCAAATGCTGTGCACTGCCCTTGGGCACTTCCCACCCTTAGCAGGTGTCACAGCATTGCCAGTGCTCTGCAGCTGCCTCAGTTTCCCCACTTTCCGCAGGGGGCTCAGCCGGCCCCCTGCTCTGTTATGTCCCATGTTCCCTGGTATGGTGAGGGGACGGACAAAGAGCTGATTTCCCTGCTTCCAGATGAAGGAGTCCAGGAGTTTACCCTGGAGTCACACCCCAGACAGGCATCTGTTTGCACACACTGGGAAGAGAACTGGGGTGTAACAGTGCTACCTCTTGGTGCGACCGACCCAGCCCCACTGCTGTTTCTCTCCTTTAGCTACCCCACTGGCATGCTGGCTCTCGCCTTCATTTGCATCTTTATGGGGATGGGGATGGGATCCAGGATTCCTGGGTTCTCTCCTCATCTCTGGGAGGGGAGTGGGGTCTAGTGGGTTAGAGCAGGCGGCTTGGAAGCCAGGACCCCTGTGAGGAGCAGGCTCTGTGAGAAGCATGGGGTCCAGTGGTTTAGAGCAGGGGGGAGCTGGGAGCCAGGACTCCTGGGTTCTCTCCCTGGCTCTGAGAGGGGAGT